GCGGTGGGGCCCGACTTTGGGAAGATGTTTCGAGCGAGAGCCCGGGACGGGGACACGCCCGGTGCGCCCCGCCGCGCGTCTGAGGGACTCCTTGGGAAGGCTCGGGAGGCCGGTTTTCTACAGAAGGACGTCCCACGCGAGGGCGCCGGTTTGGAATTCGTCGTCGGATGTCCCGGATTTCTTAGAAACAGGGGGGCTATATGAGGCCTCCTTGGGGAGGCTCGGGGGATCTGTTTTCTGGGGATGTCCCACGCGAGGGCGCCGGATTGGAATTCGTCGCCGGATGTCTTGGATTGCCTGGACACGGAAGCGGGGGGGCGGTGGGGGGGTCCATTCCCTCGCGCGCCGGGGGTCAGGATGACATGAGCTCACAAGAGAGACTTCCTCAAGGCCAGATCGTCGGAGATCTGGGAGCACGCACGGGTCTCTTGCATCACGCGGGTTGAGACAATGGCACTTCAAAACCGGTCCTCGGACCTCTCTTGGGGGTCCGAACGAACCATATTTTTTTTCGGCTGCGTCCAGCCGTGGCGACGGAGGGACCCCCCAAGGCCAACTACCATTGTCACAATTCGCCCTCCTCTGATTCTCGTCACCTTGTGGTCCGTCTTCTGCAAACATGAGCACGCCCGACGTCGTGTCGTAGACGCAGCCGCAGGGGCCGAGTCCTGGGGGGCAGCAATAAGGGAGGATTGGCTCAGCGGGGGAACCATCGACCTGGAATTGGCGATTTTATTCATCGCAAATGGATCGGCGATAGGCCCTCGATTGAAAAACTGCACGTTCCTTGGCGGGATGGACATTCGGGCCTCTGTCGGTGATGGATCGGTGATTGGGGGGTCGATGCGTCCACCCCCGAGTCTTTCCCGAGGTGGCATTCGGATCATAACTCGGGCCTCTGGGGGCCGTTCGGGGCGATCGAGGCACCCATTGAACGTTCTCCGCGAGGCGCAGCCGCTCGAAGGCACCCCACGGTTGGAAAACAACCCGGAACCCATGCACGAGAACGCATGAAAACCTCACGTTCCCCCGGGTATCCCTCCGTGACCCTCCCCCCCCGACGGCTGCCCCCGAAGTCCGGGCGGCGCGGGCGTGCCTCTGCCCGGGAGGCCGGCAGAGATCGACGCCACGCCGAAGCACTCATCGGAGCTCGCCACGCTCGCGAGACCGAGCTGAACACAGCTCTGCCCAGGCGGTAACCTTCGAGGACCCGGACATCCAACGTGTACTGACAAACTTTCTCGATCAGCACAGAAAGCGGCCGCACTAGGGAAAGAAGAGGACGGCCGCGGAAGAGGAGCGAGTGGGCGGGAGGGGGCGAACTGAAGCATCACTACGGGTTTGTTTCGCCGCTTTCGGCCTCTAAGGACCTTCGCAGGGCCCAAGGGCCGCTAAAGAACGGCTCACGATGAGAATCCGACCCTGGGGAAAGGGTCCTCTGGAGCCCCAGGCTACAGCAGTCAAGGCATCGGATCGCACGTTTTTTTCAAAACCGGCGCTTTTCCTCGCGTTCGGCCTCTGTGGCCCCTTACCGGGCCCCCAGGCCATCAGAACGGATCAAGGACAAACACTTGCCGTGGTAAAAGAGCCGGGAGCTCTGAGGACGCGCGCGGAACAAAATCAGATTAGCGGATGTCAAGGCCCTGGGGGGAGGTCTTACTCGAGCTGGACTGGGGCCGTCAGTTGCAGTAACAGGACCCAATCTGAAATGTGATACGAACTCCCACTGCAAAAGCATCTCATGAAAAATAGACCGTCACAATCTATGTCAGCACCGTCAAACAAGCGGCGGCAAACCAGAGTTCCAGCAAGCCCGCGTCTTACGTTTCCCCGATACTTTGGGGGAGCAAACGCCACCAGTCGGTTGTATAAGATGAGAGGGGTGTCGTGATGCGATTGGATTAGGGTAGCTTCAAAGAGATCTGGACTTTTTAGCGGCCCTCGTTTCTGGAGCATGTGTGAACCAGTTGGCGATCTAGGATATCCTACAGGCTCGGAAATCCGCCGACCCTGTCGGCGTGTGGACCCACTGTCGGCGTGCGCTCAGTCGAAGCCTCCGCTGTTCTCTTTCCCTGCGTATCCGTCGCCCCCTGTCCCTGCGCCCTCCCCTTCAAGCCTGCCAGCGAGAGAAAACCGTAGAAACGTCGCACTCAAGTTGGAGCGAAGCCCCTTCCCTTTGATCACTCCCCCGCCGATCGGGGGGGGGCCTGGGAGGGGGGGGGTCAGATGCGCATCCGCCCCTGGGCGTCCCGGAGCCCAACAAAAGCGCCAAGACGGGCCAAGAGTGCCCTGAGAGGCCCCCAAGAAGGTCCAAGATTGCGCAGGAGGCCCCAGCCCAAGAGGGCCCCAAGACGGCCCGAGAGATCCTCAAGACAGCCCAGAAACGCCCCAATAGGGCCCCAAGCAGGCCCAAAAAGAGGACCACGAACCGACATTTCGAGCTTCCCGCCCCAAGAAACCCAAGAGCCCCTCAGGGGGCCCGAAGAGGCCCCCAAGAGACCCCCAAGAAGCCCAACAGAGGCCCCAACAGGCCCGAAAACATCCAAGAGGCCTTTCAACCACAACCCCAGCACGGGGGCGGGAAGGGCCGCAGGCCACAAGGCTCCCTTTTTGTCTCTGCTACGACTCCCTCGGCCCACATGGGGAGCATCTCCTTCGCATTCTCGTGACTGGCTCCTGGGGTGGGTCCTGACTAGAGTCCGAGAGGAACCAGGCCGTGGCGCTAAGGGCCCCCCGTGGGGGCCCTGCAGGGGCGCAGACCAGAAGAGAGCATCAGTCCCGGACCATCGCTGTCGTGTTGGGAGACGATACAGCCGCCCCTAAACCAGAAGAGCAACCCTCAAGAACACGAAACCCTCCGCCGGCCGAGCCACGCAGAACATCCCAGGGTACCCTCCCCAGGGTGCGCACGAGCACCCAACGAACACGAAGAACACTGGGGTACCCTGCACGAGCCGTCTGGATCATATACCTCGGTCCGACTATAGGAGGGACTGGCTCAGGGGGGGCACATCGAGCTGAAATCGGCGATTCATCGCCGACAGGGCTCCGATAGCGAGTCCGAATGTTCCGTGGCGGGGTGGGCTATCGGGGTAAGGCGCCAGAGATGAAGCGGACTGGGCGGGAGACGCGCTGCAGCCGACTGTGTTCACACATGCGTCGCATTCGTTGCATTGCTGATGCGCCCGCGGCCGCAATGATATGGTCGCGACACGCCGCGGGGGACATCGAATGCCTTAGTCGTTCTGCCACGTCGCCGGCAGCGCAGCTAGCTCAAGGGCAAACATTGTAGCTGGCGATCGCAAGCTTGGTCGGCATCATTAGCCGCGCTGGCGCGCGGCGATGGCGACTGGGACCGCCCTTGCGAGGCAACGCCTTGCATTTCAAGATATTCATCCTAGACCAAGCCCAGCCCATTCGACCAGCGGCAGTGGCACGTCACAGAAAAAAGGGGTCGTTACCGTTAGCCGCGTATTAGCAGCTGATGGCCGGCGCTGAAGCGTGCGACTCAGTTGGGTGCGCAACTACGTCCGCGCCAATGCGCGGCCGCGCGCAGTCGCAGCAACCCGCGCCCCCCATCCTTACGCCTCGCCCGCCAGCCCGCCGACGCATCGCGCGTGGCCTCCATGAGCATGCCGCCCGCGCTGCGACCTGCCTCGCAAGCCGCCTGCAAGTTCTGTTTCCTCATATGTTTGGCTTCCTCCTCGTCTGCAGCTCGACGCTGACGGGCTTCCCCCTGCTGTTCGTCGGTCTTCGGGGCGAGCTCCAAACGCGTCGAGCACTGCGCGCTGCGCGCGTAAAAACAAATGCCACACTGGCGCTTCATCCTGGCCCAGAGCGGACGGGGGCAGTTCTCCTTCGCCCAGGGCGACTCGTCGCTCAGGCTCGGCGCGGCAGTGGCCAGGATCATCATCTGCGTGGGCGCCTGCACCAACCGAAAATGGCGCTGTCAGGCCGCTGTCCAACCGGGGGATCTCGTCGGGCGCGGGCGCTCCCGAGTCGACGATCTCGCGGGCCCTCTCCGGGTCGATCGGCCAGGCCACTGGCGATGAAGGGGCCCGCGCCATCCCGCCCTATTGCGGTCGCGGGCCCTATGACAGACGCGGGCGGTCGCCGCCTGGGCGGCCTCCCGAATCGTTGCAGGGAAGATGCCATTCTTCTTGATCGCCTAGATCGCTTTGATTATTCCTGTGCCCCCTGGCTTCGGCACGAGCTGGGCTGCCCCCCTCGTTCAACTGGCGGCCCAGCCGAGAGCTGACGGGCTGACCCAGGGCCGCTGCCTGGGCCCCTGTGGCCCCCCAAACCCCGCGGTAGGTTGAATGGGGGAAAGACCTGAAGACGCGCGCCACTTGCTGTGCCTCGCTAGCCCCCGACCCCTCACTGGCGGCATAGCAGCAACGCGACGGCCCACTGGCTGTCCTTGAACCACATCAAAAGAAACTTTGCCTCCAGGTCGGTGCGGAGGTCGCGCTCGCCTGAGGGCCCGAGGGCACTGGGGGCCAGGTCGACCGAGCGGTGGCCCCTAGCCGCGCGGGCGAAGCACGCGCGCAACGTCGTCCACTGAAGTGCTCATCGTCATCACGTTGTTGGCGGGGTCATGCGTGGCCTCGGGCATTCCCAGCGCGCGCGCTGGCAACGAAGGCGGACGTGTGGTTCGAGGAGATCAGGACCGCGACCAGCCCGCTCGTCTTGAACAGGGTGAGAACCTCGTCGATGGGGGTGGCCTTGCCTCCGATTCTCGAAGCCGTCACGCCTCGAGATGGAGACCACTGGATCTTCGACTTGAAGCCGTAGCCGAGAACGCCTTCTCCAGGGTCTCCAGGTTGTCCTTGCGGATCGGTGCTTGGCTGGCGGCAGCAGCGCTGCGAACGCGATCGTTTCCTGTCCTCCCGTCAGCTGACCCGTGATTGTGTCTTGCTCCGCCGATGCTCGCGCCGTCGAAGCACCCGTGGTGGTGGCCGTCGGCATTCTCGAATTTGGGGAACAACTACAAACCTGCGTGCCACCAAAGTGCCGCTGAGAACTCACAGCTTTCTCCTTCTCGCCCGCGAGCCTGTCCAGCTTCGAAGGGTGCGGTTTCTTGCGCTCGTCAGCCCGGCGCCCGCGATCTCCGCCGTTCGCGCATCTGGGGAGCTTGCGAAGATCTCCGGCCGTTATCCTCTTGAGGCAGGACCTGGACCCCGTGCGGTCAAAGAAATCACAATCCTCCTTCTTCGCGGCCTTGAACCGCCCCGATTCCTGCCATGCCCTTCGCTTGTCTTTGTTGTCAAGCTCATCCTCTATGACAGCCGCGAACACAAGCGCTGCGCCATCTTCATCGAGGTGTTGCTCCTCGATGGCGGCCGGGAAACTGTCGGCCCCCTCCTTAGGCAGCTCGATCGCGTCGTCGCAATCATCGTAGTCCTCCTGGTCGTGAGCCTCTGAAGCGACGTCCATCTGGAATGACTTCACGGGAGGGGGATGGGCGCTGGGCAAGATCTTCATCTCGGCCACGTCAAGCATCAAGATGGCCCGGCTCACACTTGCGGCGTCCGTCCTGCTCTGCGCTTAATGTGCATGTTGAGTTTGCTATGCGGCGTAAGCTTCGCGCCATTCAATGAAGCGAGCACTCACGTTGTCGGGCAGCTAGATCGAACTTCTCGGCCTCGGTGGTCTGTGAGTCGCCAGGATCACGTATTCGGTCAGAAACTCGCCCCAACGAGCCTTGTCGCTAGCGTGGCGTTCTTTGTTCCCAGAGCACTCACCGCTGAGAGCCGTTAGATGATCAAACAACTTTTCGATGCCACTTTCGTGATTTAATGGGCTCCGGAAGGTCTTGAGCTTTCCTGGCGTCTCGACGGGGACCCCCTCGATAACCCTGCCCGTTCTCGCCGTCTTGGAATTGAGGCTCGTCCGGGCTGCGTCGATCTCTCCAGGGAACCCTGTCGCGGCATAGCGGCCCTGGGCCGAGCCAGAACGGGGAGGGCCGAAGTCCTTGCTGCGTCGATCTCTCCAGGAAGCCGTGTCGCGAGCGTCCTGGCCATAGAACATCCAATCCCACGAATCACCGTTGCTGTCATCGCGCGTGTCCGCGCCACAATCTCGCCAGCCGTCGGCACCCATGCCATCGTATCGCCAGCCGCTGTCGCCCGTGCTGAAACCTCGTCGGCTGCGATGGCCACTGCCATGAGCTCGCCAGGGCTATGACTTCGGGCCGATGTCCACGAGCGCCGATCCCAGTGCCACTCTCTCGACAAGCCTGACGCCGCCTGTCGGTTCTCCGCATGTGCTTGTGCGTGATGGGCTTGTTTTCCACCACCACCACCATAAGTAGGAGGGGGAGGGGGTCCTCCTCCTCCTCCTTCTCCTCTTCCTCCTCCTCATCCTCCACCTCCTTCCCCCCTCCAACTTATGGTGGTGGTGGTGGAAAACAGGCCTCTCATGTGCGGACTGCACGGTAGCGACGAGAGTCCTGGCTACGCTATCACCTTCTCGACCGCCACGGCCAGCCTCGACACCAGGTCCCCTGGCGTCCTCCTCTCGCTCACCACCGTCCTTCGGATACCACGCTCCGCTTACGAGCCGTCGCCAGCACGGGGCTCTGAGTGAGCAGGGGCTGGGAGTCGGAAGGTGCGTCTCGGGACTGGGCGAGTGGCACCGTGCACGCTCTGAGTCACGCGCGAATTTGAGCCAAAAGCTGCGACATCATATACGTAGAGCGCTGAACAGATGGAGGGAATAAGAGGGGAGGGGAACAACAACTCGCGGGGCCAAGCGAACTTGGGAAGACACGTCCCTCGCTCCTCGCCCCCAAGCGGGCCCAGGGATGTTCCGAAGAGGCCTTCCGAGGCCAAACCCTTGTTACTCGATCTTTCTGTTACCCTGGTTGCCCGCTTCGTTCCACTACATGTGTCTCTTCGTCCCTTCCCCGTCAAATCTCTTGGGCTGGGTTTTTGAACGGGCTGGTGCGGATACGTGAAGCGTGATGAATGCACTCATTCAAGTACTTGGCAAGTCACTCACAGTATACTAAGTAAGCTGCAAGTCTTCTACATGCGTGCAAAGACTGTGGACCACCCAAACAGAAACAAACAATAACACATAATCTGTCCGTCGCGTTTTTTTCGGGAAGACGCTGCGATAACGGGTGCTATGGAAGGGGGGGGGCGGGGGGGACTATAGAGCAACGCCCCCCAACCCGCCGTCCCCGTCGCGTGGGTCCAGCACCAGGTGGTGTAAGACGCACTGCGTCTGTGCCAGGGGCGCGCTATTTACGTTAGGGGGGGGGCAGAAGAAGGAGGAGGAGGAGGAGGAGGAGGAGGAGCAGGAGGGACGTCACGCGCGTTACGGCCCAGAGGCTCAAAAGGCACTTCGAGGGAGGGACTTCTTCAGCGCGGCAGCCTGAAATAGCGCCCCCCTTCGCGGCCCGCGCCCAGCGCAGAGGAGGCGACGCCGGCCGGCGGGAGGTGCGCCAGCACGCCCGTGGCGCCGCGGCTGGTGGCATGCTCGGGCAGGCTCGGCCTTGGCAGCGGCCCCCCCCCACTGCAGAGCCGTGCGGCGCGCGGAGGAAAGTAAGACGGGGCGACCCTCACGATAAGAGTGGTTCAGGATGCGTTCCGGTACCTCTGGAGAGTATCTGGCGGCCCTCGTTTCTGCAGCCCGTGTGGATGTGGAGCATGGGGGACACTGGGGGGAACTCTCGAATACGGCCTCTTGCTCCTCAGGAAAAAATCGCGGCGGAAATTCGCCGGCCCAACGGGCCAGGGCGTGCTAAGATCTCCGGTACCTGGTTAACACTATTTCTAGTTCTCGCGCGCGGGGCGGCCCCTGGGGGTCCCCGGACGAAAAGTACCCCGGCAAGGTCCCGGCAAGGTCGGGTCAGAGATGCCGGAGTTCTGTTTCGGAGTCCAAGAGGGCTCCAGATCGGTCCAAGAGGGCCCCGAGAAGCTGTCTAGACGGTCCAAGAGAGGCCCGAGACGGCCAAAGATCGCCCGAAGACGCCCCAGATTGCCCCAAGACAGCCCAAGAGGCCTCCAAGACGCTCCAAGGGCCTTCCAAGAGGCCTCCGAAGAGGGCCCCAAGTTGCCAAAATCGTTGATTTTCATTTGTTTTTTCTATGTTTTTTTGCGTTCTGGCCTTTTCGCTTCCGGACGCTCCAAGAGGGCCCAAGAGGCCTTCAAGACTGCTCCAAGACGGCCCACGAGGCTCCCAAGACGGCCCCGGAGCGGCCCAAGAGCGCCCCCCAGACGGCCCAAGTGCCGCCCAAGGCGGACCAAGAGGCCCCAAGACGGGCCCAAGAGGGGCTCAAGAAGGGAACCGAGAACTGAAAAATCGAGCCCTCCGCCCCAGAAGGCGCCCAGGACCCCGAAAGAGGCCCCAAGAGACTCTCCAAGACACCCCCAAGACGCCCCAATAAGCTCCCGTGAGGCCCCAAGAGGACCAACAACGTCAGGCCCCAGGCCCCAAGAGGACCAACAAATACCGCCAAGAGCCCGCCGAAAGCCCCCCAAGAGACCGTCACGAGAGCTCAGGAGGCCCCCTGGAGGCCTCCCGAGTTCTCCAAGAGGCCTAAAAAGAGGCGCCAAGAGGCCCCAAACGGCCCCAACGAGGCTCCAAGAGGCCACGAACGCGCAAGCAAACGCCTGCGATGGCACAATACGGGCCGGCGGAATGAGCGAAGCGATTCTATTTCTGCCGGCGACGCAGCGTCGATTCCGCCTCTTTGCCCGCGCCCCCCCTTTGACGGCTGTCGGTGCCGCGCTCCGGCCGGCTCGGCCTCGGCAGCGGCCCTCCCCTGCAGAGCTCGCGCGAAAAGAAACCACGGGGCGGCTGCCTCATCGGCGATGCCGCGCCGATCCTTCCGCTGTGCCCGTGTAGCGGCGGATGCTGCCGGCGGAGGTCGGCCGCCTGTGCGAGACTTCGGCGGCGGAGGTCCATCGGCTCGACGTTTCTCCCTGAGCCGGAGCCCCCTGACGGTCCCCCCTCGCGGAAGCGCCACCGCACTCGTGACGGCGTGCTCGCGGCGCGGGTGCTGCCTGGGAGCCAATGCTGTTGGCGCCAGCCCATCCGCCTCACGCCGCGCGCTGCCCGGCCGCGGCATCTGTCGGGGCTCCGCGCGGCCGTCTGTCGGCGAGCGCTGGGGGAGCTGCAAGACTGGCTCTGCCCAGAGCACACCAAACTTGCCCTGAGATCCAGGCGCTACCACTCTTTCACCCCATGCGTTTTTGCCCGGTTTCCGTCCCAGGGGCCCGCACATATCGATTCGGCTCGAGAAGTGCCGCGGAGAGGCCGGGTCCAGATATCTTGTCTTGCTTTTGCATTGTATGGTTTAGCCACGTGGGATCAAACACTTGTGAGCTTGTGTTCAACTATATTCTGGCAAATTCGCTTCTTGCACGTCTGATCCCCTAACTCGACCCAGGATGAAGAGCCAGCCTTAGGGAAGGGGTCGAGATCCCCGAGTGATCTCCTCCACTGAGATCTGGGCGTTGCACTGCGGTTTTCCAGCCCCGGAGGCCGTCCGCAGATAGATCCAGCCCGAGAAATGCAGCTGGTCCTTCCCCGCCCACAGGTTGGGGTGGCTTGATGTAAAGAACTTACCATCGCTCGGACGTCCATTCCCCATGCATGCTTCGTCATCGTGCGTGTCTGTTTTGCTCGATGATCCATGCCGCTCCTCCATGGTCCTCTCCAGGACAAAATACGCACGTCCGACCGATGCGAAGGTAAAGAAAAGAGCTCCTGACCCGACTCGCACACCCTGGAGGAGGAGGAGAGGAGGAGGAGGATGAAGAGGAGGAGGAGGAGGAGGAGGAGGAGGAGGAGGAGAAATAGGAGGAGGAGGACGAGGAGGAGGAGGATGAGAAGGAGGAGGAGGAGAGAGGAGAAAGAAGGAAGAGGAGGAGGAGGAGGAGAAGAAGGAGGACGAAGAGGAAGGAGGCGAGAGGAGGAGGAGGACGAGGAGGTGGAGAAGGTCGAGGAGGAGGAGGAGGAGGAGGAGGCGGAGGAGAAGGAGGAGGAGAGAGGAGAGAGGAGGAGGAGAAGGAGGGGGAGGAGGATGAGAAGGAGGAGGAGAAGGACGAGGACGAGGAGCAGGAGGAGGATGAGGGGAGAGGAGGAGAGAGGAGGAGGAGGAGGAGGAGGAGGAGGAGGTGGAGGAGGAGGAGGAGGAGAAAGAGGAGGAGAAAGAGGAGCATGCCGCAACCGCCGGGCCCCGAGAATCCTGGTGCATACCCCGGGCACCCCGCCATCGCATCTGTTCGGCAAAAGACGACTGCATGCCGCGGCCGCCAGGCTCCAACGAGCCAGGTTTGGCGGCGCGCACAAGGGGTGACTACCTACCAGACCACCCCAATCCAACCCGAAGACCCGAATTTCGGGTTGGGGGGGGTATGGGTTCCATATGTGTTTTTTCGATGTTCCCGGACCCCCCCACACTAGAAATCGAGGGTAAATCTGAGCCTTCGGGTTGGGTTGGGGTGGTTTGGTGGGTGGTGAAGGGGGTCGGAGGAGGGGGGGAATGCTTCTCAGAAGCACCCCTGCTTCTTAGAAGGCGGCGGCCTTACATCTGCAGACGAGGCTCGCGCAATCTAGGAAGCAGGGGTGCTTCGAAGAAGCCTCCCCCACTCCCCCTGCCCCCTGGTGCGCATGGGTGGCCGATGTTCCCTGGGTCTTCGGCCTCGCGCTCTTCGCAGGCGTCCGAGAGGGGAGCGCGCGAATCGTGGCCCGAGGCGCGTGCGCGGCCCAGGGTGGAGCCGAGGGGGACGCATGCAATCCGAAGGAATATCATGGCCCTGGTCATGATTTCTCTCCCCCTAGTCACCACCACCATAAAACGACGCGAAGATCGGGACAAAATCGGATCGGGATAACTCGAAATCTCTGAGAATCGGCGGGTTTGGAGGATGTATAGGGCGCCGCGGCCGCTCCAGAGCGTTCCGGAACGCTCTGAGAGCGCTCCGGAACGCTCTGGAGCGATTTATCCCGATCCTAGCCCTGTCTTACACCACCCCCTTGTTCGCCCCCGAAATCTGGGTTTTAAAGCGTTCGGAACAATATTTTGTTTGCGATGTTGCAATCGTCTCGCGACGTCGGGTCTTGGGGTCCTCCTCTCCCCTTTATGTGGGCCCATTCGCGCGCGTGACAAAAACAAAAGGACGGGGGGGATCTAGACACCTGTGGCTTCTGGGTGACCTTGCCGGACCCCTGGGCCATCAAAAATGTCCGTCGATGCTTGGCCTACGCAGCCGTCGCGGCCAAACCATCGCAAACCGCTCCAGGATGGCACCGGCTGGTGTGGTTGAGGGCTCCCCTTCTCCTCTCCATCCCCTGAAGGGCTTTGGCCCACTCTGCGACACCACGTCGGAATTTGGGAGGGTAGAGGGGCTGGGCATGCCCTCGCGATCATCCCCCCATATGCAGGCTACGAGTTGGATTTTTCCAGAGCAAGAGGCGTTCACTTAGAATTTACCAGATTCTCCGACCCCGAAGGAATGTCTGATGGCGGTCCGCTCGCTCGTAGACCTGGAAGCTTGGCCAATGATACTAATAGGAACGCTGAACAAGGAACGAGGGGGCTCTTCAAGCCTCGCGAGCCTCGGCCACGAATAAGTGCCCGACCTGGATCTGAAGAGCGGCCTGAAAATCACGGACTCGCTGGTGCCCGGAGTGATCCTTATTTCAGCGTCTTGACTGTGATCCGCCCCCTTACAAATAATTCTGTCCTGCCACACCCCGAGGCATGTCGGAAGAGCGGGCCAGGTGCATCACCCGAGACTCCCTCGCCACTTGTGAACCTGACGCTTCAAAATTAACAATATATTCAAAGATGAAGTGCGGGTGGTTTCCAAGATATCGCTCTCGCTTTACCGCCGCTCGCATTCGTTTCAAAGTCGCAGAAATTTCGCGGATTCAGGGCGGATCGTTTTCAAAATGTGGCTCTCGCCTTAAGCGCCGCGCACATGTGCTTAAACATATTTCAAAAGTTTGGCAGGTGGAGGGCGGGTCGTTTTCAGAGTGTGGTTCTCGCCCTATCGCTGCGCCAATTCGCGTCACCAACATACAAAAACCTCAGGGATTGAGGGCGGCCCATTTTCGAAACGTGGCTCCCCCCTTGAGCGCCGGAACCATGCGTTTTTTGTTTAAACAGTTGCACTAATTTGAAGGATTCGCGTGGCTATTCCCCCGAATAAACGGCTTTTGGGAGCGATGTAGGGCTGTCAGGGCGCAACAAGTATGTTGATTCGCTGTGGTGTTGTCCCAGGAACGGCTTTCTAGCACGATTCGGGATCGCCAAGATGCAACGGTGAGGTTGATTCGCGGCGCAAGTACCAAGAAAGGTGTTCTGGCACGAATCAAGGTTGTCAAACGGTTGCCTTCCTACGGGGCACTTCCCTCAATTGAAATAAATATGTGCTAAGCCCCACCCCCGTGATCTATATGTGTGTTATGTTTAATTAAAGGTAAGATACAGCACAGTCCTAACATCGAAAAAGCTTTCGCGCACACGCCTACAGGCCGAA